TCTGACATTTTCATATACCTCCAGTTTTTGTAAGGATTTCAGTTCCTTATCCATTGCTTCCTGCCAAGCAGCCTGATCCTTAGCAGGATACAGTTTTAGTTCACTATAGTTACTTGGAACTGTATTCACTTGGCATACAACACTAACCTGATATCTATCAGGTAGTCGTGTTACACGGGTTGAACATCTTGGTATTACAGGGCTTACTGGTGGACTCAGCTGTGCCACCTGCTCCTGTTCTCCTACCTCCTCCTGTGCTTCCTCTTTAATGGCTATTTGTGGTTTACTTATTTCATCTTTAGGGACTATTTGGGTGTCAATAATAATATAATTGCTGGATTCCTGTTCCAGTTTATCCCACCCAACGTGCTCAAGAAATTTAGCACTAGCGCTACAGTAAACATGAGCTGTGCCTTGATCCCAGAATCGAAATGATCTTTGGTTGGCCTCATAACCTATGAAAAATAATTTCTTAGCCCTATGTTGCCCTTTCATTCTTACTTGTGAGGGAATATGCACCCATGGTGGAGCTCCAAATGTGTGTAGGTAACTTAAATTTGGTTTTCTGCCATGCCAATGAGTGAATGGCAATTCTCCAGTTGTTGTGTTAATCACATTGTTTAACACATGGTTGCTACACATTATGGCCTCACCCCACAGTGTTTTAGGCAAACCTGAATCAGATAACATAGTGCGAGCCATGGCTTGTAACGTTTGCCCTCTTCATTCTACAAACGAGTTATGTTGTGGTCTGTAAGGTGCAGAACATTTATGCTCGACACCAGCCAATTTCAGCATTGTTTGGAATTTCTTGTTAATAAATTCAGTCCCGTTATCAGTAACTAAAGTAATTACTTTACTCCTCATTTTTCTTTCAGCAAATCTTAGCCAATTAAAGAAATGTTGGAATGTTTCTGTTTTGTTTTTCATTAGATAGCAGAAACCATATTGTAAGTAATGGTCCATAATACTCAAAATATAGCAGGCACCTCCCAAACTAGGTTTCTTAGGAACAATTATGTCAGCAAACACAACCTCTAAAGGTTCATAGGTCTTAAACCCTTTAAATCTGTTTGCTGGAATAAGATTTGGAGTTGCCATATGTTAGACCATTCAGATACATAACCTTGCTTTTCTCTTGGCTACAAGCATTACAGTTTAAATACTTGCTACAGGGTTTCAATTTTACTCCCTCTGACAATTCAACAGTTTGTTTGAGCATTTTGAAATTAATGTGCCCCAGACGTCTATGCAGTAAATGTATACATTCATCATGTGGTTTAACATTGTTATAAACCAAGTTAGCCATCTTCAACTGGTCATCATGTATCACATATGAATCATTCTCTAAAGTAGCAGTAACACTTTTACCCTCTTTTTCTATTATACAGTTATCTCCCCTAAAGGTTACTACATAACCAATATTAACTAAAGCCCTTACTGATAACAAATTAAATTTCAGTTTAGGTACATATAACATAGTTAAATGTTCGTTTATACAAGAACAATATGCAGTACCTTCACCTGATGCTTTAATCTTCCATCCATTTGCCAATGATACATGTTGTTTCCTCGTGGACATCTTTACAAACCTCTCTCTATTTCTAGTAATGCACTGCGATGCTCCACTATCAACAACCCACAAATCATGGTTTACAGTTGAATTGCTAGACATAGCTAAACTAACATTCTTCTTGGCCTTCTGTTGATTACCAGTATTCTGTTGTTTTCCTTTCTTACAGAATCTAGCTATATGTTCCCAAGCCCCACAAGAAAAACATCTCCTAAAAGTATAGGCAGTTGAACACAAATCCTCTTCTTGTGGTTGTTCCTTCCTCAGTTGGTTCCTATCCAGTCGTCTTCTTTCTTCTTCTAACAACCTTCCAGTTATGTCAGTCAATGTCAGTTTATCTTTGGTCAGGACTTCCAGTGAAGATACGTAATCATCATAACTTCATCCAATGAGGAAAGAATGATGTAAACTTGATGCAGCTCTGAAAATATCAGTTCCTTTTCATGTAGCTCTTGAAAAGTTCTTTTCATGAAGTTCAAATGAGCTAACATATCTCCACCTTTCAAAAGACATGCTCTAAACAGTTTACGTGTAAGATGTATGTGTGCACCTACACTGTCACGAACATAAATCCTCTTCAGATTCTCCCAACACCTAGCAGCAGACTCTACTCCACGAATATGCTGCTGGTCACTCAGTGTTAGTCCAATTATACAAAGAGCTTGTTTATTGGTTCATTTAAAGTCAGCAAGCTTCTTGACATCATCCTCATTTTCTGGATCCCAAGCATTTACATCCAGTGGGTCTTGAACTTCTCTACACAGAAGTAGACTGCACTTCATAGACCAGGAAACATAGTTTGTTCCATCCAACCGGGTTATTAGTGATAGACTTGTTGAAGTGTCTTGTGCCATCTTTACCAGGATAGTAACCCACAATTAAACAGTAAACAGCTGTCTGTATACAGTACTGTGCATTCACACCAACTCTCAGTTATCTGAGCCTGGTATGGCCTGGGCCCATAACCAGTGTTGAGGTGATTCCCCGTTAGGAGAATGAGCGCATACAGGGAGACGTAGTGAGAGTGGTGAAGAATAACACACAACTAGCACACAGATACACTGTATAGTAAAATGTAGGTTTTTACTTCCAATAAACGTTCAAGCAAAGCCTAAACAAGCAGTCCAAGTCATTCACAGTTAAACCAGTCAGTTTTCAGTCCAGGGATAATCCAATAACAAAGTCCAGTATCAAAAACAGTTCAGTAACAGACTTACATCAAACCCAAGAAGAACTATGATCAGCAAACAATCAATAGTCAATAGGAACAGCAACACTCTCCAGAACAACAGAACAAAACAACCTAGGTTTCTGGCTCCATCTTATGGCCGTTTGAGGAACTACACCTAATTACAATTTTAGCATTCCCTTAAAGAGGCAGTATTAAAATGTCTATCCTGGTTGATATATTTTCCAACCAAACTATTAGGTGACTTCCATTCCTAACAACGGGTATTTGTGATACATTTTTAAATGTTCAGTTTGAGTTTCATGTTCAATGAGTAAAAGAGATAATAATGACAATAATAATAGTATGCCACCTTGTTCTCTGTGACTCTGGGTAATTTGCAACAATAAAAAATACAATAAAAGCAATAAACACAATTAAATGAAGACTTAGTGAATAGTGGCTGGTCTTCAAGGCTCTTCTAAACAAGAGCAGAGTGGAGTACATTCAGATTTTCAGGGAATCTCATTGCAGAAGGCAGACACTGCTACATGCAACGTGCATTTCTGGGGTCCTGACATTGTTTAATCAAAGGAACTTGGAATGTGCCAATCCTACAGGCTCAAATTGTCCAAGCATATGCTATGGGAGACAAATAGTCCCTCAAACAACTAGACCAAGTAGGGCTTCATAAGTTATAACCAGCAAAATTGAGTTGCACCCAGAAGCAAACTAGTGAAATTCATGAAACACAGGTGATTATAATGAGGAAAGCCCATTACTGCTTTTGCCTCTACATGCTGGACTAATTGAAGTTTCCAGGGGGTCTTCAAGGGCAGCTCAATATAGACTGTATCGCAGTAGTCAAGCTGTGAGCTGATTACTCACAGTCAGTGAGTAGTGGTGGGACTTATCATAGTGGTGGGACTTATCTCTGGGGGAGATGAGTCTGCCTACCGAGATGAGGTGGACCGGTTGCTTCATGATGTGGAAACAATAACTTGGTCCTCAACACCAATAAGACCAAGGAGCTTATAGTGGATTATAGAAGGAACACATCAGACATCCAGCCCTTGCTTATCAATGGAGACCAAGTGGAGCAAGTGGCCAGTTTTAAGTTTCCTAAAAGAGGACCTGACCTGGGGTGACCACATTGCAGCCCTGGTCAAAAGGGCCCAGCAGAGATTATACTACCTGAGACTTCTCAGAAAACTGCTGGTGACCTTCTACTGCTGCAGCATAGGGAGCATTTTAACATACTGCACTTCTGTATGGTTTGTCAATTGCACAGTGGCAGATAGGAAAGCACTCCAGATGGTTAATGTCATTGCCCAGAAAATCATTGGTTTCCCTCTCCCCTCTTTGGAAGAGCTTTATAGCTCCCGCTGCCTTAAGAAAGTTCAAAACATTCTCAAAGATCCATCTTATCCAGGGAACCCTTTTTTTGAACTATTACCATCTGGCAGTCAGTACAGAATAATAAAAACAAGGATAAATAGGCTGAAAAACAGCTTCTATCCCAGGGCAGTAGCTCCTTTGAATTCTGCTGTATAGTGCACTGTAGGTGTAGTGTCGGGGATTTTCGGTTCAATGTGTGAAGGGTGATGGATGTGTGTTTGTGTTTATTTTCATGGTAATGGTCATGATGTACACTGAAGATGGTGTTTGATTTTGTTGTACGAGGTGCAATTGACAATGAAGTAAACTTACTAACTTACTTACTTACTTACTTACTTACTTACTTACTTACTTACTGGGGCATCAGTGACTGTATGAAGGCCCCCAATCTAGTAAAGGGCTCAACTGGTACACCAGATGGTACATAATCTTTCTTGGTCCAGCTGAATATTCTCTTCAACCAGGAGCTTCAAGTCCAGGAAGACCCTCAAACTGCCTATCAACCTTGAATTTCTATCTCATGCAAGATCATCGATGGAATATGGCTCATATACCACAGCTTATATTTCACAATGAATGCACAAAGTGTAGTGCATACATTTTTATCTTTTGCTCACTTGAAAATACATAATGAAATTATAGTGCATACAGTATTAATTTACCCTTAGTAATTCATTAGAATAGTTTTCAATTAAAATAATTTTGGTATTTCTTTTGTTATAAATTTATTTTCTTAATTACAAATTAAATTAATTACAAATTCAGCTGAATGTTTTTATTCATTGGAATTACAAATTTTATATTTCTTCACCTTCTTCATTATAACTATAGAAACCTGATAGTCTCTTCTATAATTTTTAGGAGATCCTGGCAGTGGAAAGACTACTATGATAGATAATATGCTTGGAAGACTCCAAAAAGATGGATTAAATATAAGGAGGAAAACAATATTAGGAGAGGTCTTTTACTACAATGAAACTAAAATAACAAGGTAACTGCTAAGAAATTTAGAGGACAATTCAAGCTCGTTCTTGAATATATTGGTCCGAATTTCAATTACAAATTTCTAGGTTCTATCATATCTCAAGACCTAAAATGGACACCTAACATCAAAAATATCATCAAAAAATCACAACAAAGAATGTTCTTTCTGTGCCAACTCAGAAAGCTCAAACTACCCAGAAGCTGCTGATACAGTTCTACAGAGGAATTATTAAGTCTGTCATCAGCACTCTATAACTGTCTGGTTTGGTTCTGTAACCTAACAAGACAGACACAGACTTCAGAGAATAATTAGGACTGCAGAAAAAACAATTGCTACCAACCTGCCTTCCATCGAGGACCTGTATACTGCACGAGTCAAAAAGAGGGCTGTGAAAATATTTACAGACCGCTCACATCCTGGACATAAATTGTTTCAACTCCTACCCTCAAAATGACGCTATAGAGCACTACACACCAGAACAAATAGACACAAGAACAGTTTTTTCCTGAATACCATCACTCTACTAAACAAATAATTCCTTCAACACTGTCAAACTATTTACTAAGTCTGCATTACTATTACTATTAATCTTCCCATCCTTCCTTTCACCCATCTTCTCCCACTTATGACTATATGACTGTAATTTTGTTGCTTGTATCCTTATGATTTTTATTGACTGTTTCCTAATATGATTTGATTGCTTATTGTAGCCTATGACTATATTCTGTTTACTATATACCCAATGACTATATAACCCTATGGCTATTATTAAGTGTTGTACCTTATGATTCTTGAAGAATGTATCTTTCATGTACACTGGAAGCATATACATCAAGACAAATTCCTTGTGTGTCCAATCACAATTGGCCAATAAAGAATTCTATTCTATTCTATTCTAAATATTTCAGCAATACCTGACTAATATGTTAATGGTAAAACAAAAGACAGACTATCTCTTTTCTTCCCAGTGTCATTTTTTAATTAAGTCTGATGAGGTCTGTAGGGGGCGTGCATAAGCGCACCAACATGCCTACCATCCCTGTCCTATTGTTTATTTTTCTTTTTTTTCTTATGGTAAAGGACTGGGAAACTTTTGAATCCTTTATCTACATCTCCAGTTTCCAGTTTTTTCCCCTCCTTTTTTGATTTATGACTTTTCAACTCAGGGTAGGAGTCACTGGACTTCTATAAAGCTAAATCATAGTCAATCATTCCTGTCTGATGTGACTCAGTGTATTTTCTTTGAATAAAGTTGTTAATGTTAATGACTTATCTATATAAATAAATTAACAATAGTAAAGTAATAATATGTACAGATTTAATATACTGGAAAATGCTAGAAAGTAATAACTCCAACTAATTTATTGTTTGATGATTTTTTGTGAGAACTGGCAAATTTGTGTTTTCTTCATTTTGTGTTTATGTTTTGCTGTTTAGCTTGAACTACAGTTTGCTGAAAACAGATCAATTTCGTAGCTCTTGGAAAATAACACATTCTTCAACCAGAGAATTACGTATGTCATTGATTTTAAAGAAAGAATAAAATGTCTTAGGGTTAGATTTTAAATTATGATATATTAAATTTTAAAGAAATAAGTTCTTTAAAGTCCAAACAATGGCTAATGTTAAATACTGAAATTACATCCTTAATGAAAAAATAACCCACTAAAGAGATTAAGATTGGCCAAATTTAAAAGAAAATAAAAAATGGTTCCATAAAATAGCTCAGAATTTTATTCCTTTGACTTTATTTCATTTCTCTATAGACATCTGTGTTTCTTTGGTACATATAGAGAGCATGTTGGTATCTTTCACTGCCAGCCTAATATACCAATTAAATTATAAGATTTATACATTGACTTCATAAAGTTTTAAGTGGTGTAAATAAGACTAATAACATAATGCATTATGTTATTAGTCTTATTTACACCACTTAAAACTTTATAAAGCCAATAATATAGAAGGGAAAATCAATTTATGGCATATTCTTTTGAACCTTCTTACAAGTCTTTTAAAGCATTGATATATTAGCTTAGGATACAGCCACCTAAATCAAAGGTGATTGTTTTCCAAGCACAATTCTCAAAGTTGAGAATCTTGAAGTAGATTCATGACTGGCATAGAGTAAGTTTATCTATTAAATTTTTAACTGATTCTATTCTTTTGCTTTGTGTGGAGTCCCTTATTTTATAGCTTTGTTGAGAAATGACTGGGCCCTTTGAATCTTTCTACCATTTCAGATTACATATATGTCTGTGTAAATCTTAATAAAACATTATTAAGAATTGAGTTCAACCTGTTTTACTTCTGTGGTTTTAGAAAAAATAATATCCAAGAGGTATTCTAACAAGGAATTCTATTAGTTGTATGATACCAGCAAAAGTATTACACTTCTATTTTAACCAGGAAAATCAAATCAATAGCACTTAAATTGCCTTAAATGCAATAGTAACGCAGGTGACGTTTGCTGGCTTAGAATGCCTTTTTTCTACTTGATTCTGAGGCTGTTATTTATTAACAGCTATAAATTATATTATAGCTAATTTTACCTTGTTATTTTTTAAAAATGTTATGATTATAGTAAAATAATTAGGAATATGAAAAATATTTTAAACTTACAATCTTTCATGGTCAAAATGCTTCATTTTAACACTGACATATTTGTGTCACTTCTGAACATACCAGAAGTGTTTCTAGCTTGAAATACCTTGAACAGAAAATATTTTATATTTTAAAAAGGTTAAAAATTATTAAAATTCTAACAATTCAATTTGTTAAAGTTTCAGCTCTCAGCTCAGTAAGAGAGGATTCTGAGGTAGAAGAACCATCTTCAGGGCCTGTCATTTGTAAATTACAATTAGGTGCCCGTACAACTGCAGCTCAAACGAAGAGTTTGATCACCCAGAAATTAATACTGAAAAGTAAAGATGTCATAGGTGCGCCACAATCTCAACAAGTAAGAATGTTAATGAAAGCTTATTTGTAACTCACATACATAATAAGCAGTTTATTCAGTCTTTATTTCAAAGAAAATTGATTTGATCCACAATTAGTCTAATGCAAGAATCAGAGCATATTAACTTTAAAACATTTCAAGAACCTCAGATTCTTATATTCTTTAGAGATTCAAAGTAAAATACAAAGCACAAATGTACATTTCAGAAAGTTGCCAAATCTCAGAAAATTTCAGGTGATATCTTGCAAAATCTAATGATCTTAGGAAACCTGAGCCATTTTAAAGAGTATCCTAGTTTTAAGTGCTCATCGCACAAAATAGTGCATTTTTTGGGATCCAGCTCCCAATTGATCTGGAGTAAAGGCAACATTTTTCTTTTCTTTTGTATTAAAAATTGAGTATGAATGGACCATGGGAAGAAGAGGATCTTTTAATCATAAGTGTTCTCATTCACTCAGTTTGATGATTACTACTCTTACTAGATAAGAGCCACTAAAACTTTAGAGAAAAAGAAACAATTGATTCCATTGCTACCAATTCTTTCTTTCTTTCTTTCTTTCTTTCTTTCTTTCTTTCTTTCTTTCTT